GCCTCGGAAGAGAACGTGTAGCGTGGTCAGTAATGGCCTCTACCCAAAGGCGGAGACGATTTTTATGCAGACAACTACAGGCCAATCACTTGTCTGCCAGTACCAGTGTACAAAATTGTAACTGCAGCCACAGCTAACAAAATGTACAGACATCTAGAGAAGAATCTGTTGACAGTTGAACAGGCAAGATGACGTAAAGGATCCTAAGGCTGCAAGGAAATCTTGTTACTAAATGAAGTCATCTTGATCAGGGGTGTTCAACTTCCAAGGCCTCAAGGGCCTCAACTAAAACCATTCATATAGTTGCGGACCATTTAAGTAAATGGTGGTGGGGGGAGGGTAGCCATGCGTGATATGAGGTCGTAACATGCATAACGTAGTGAAACACATTAGAATGATTTTGAATGTCTGAATTTACTAGAAAAAGTCCTCAGATCTAAACTTTACCTATTCTTACATTAAAAGGGTTTTGACCCCGGCAGGGCGGGTGCGCTAGGCGCATAACGTTCTCGCTCGACATGGATGAAAGGGGTTCCACTTTTCGCTAATAACGTTTCGCAGGCCACAATAAATGGTACCGCGGGCCACAAGTTGGACAACCACGTCTTGAATGATGTAAGAAAACGAAACAGTAATTTAACCATGGCTTTGATTGATCACCAGAAAGCCTTTGCAAGTGTACCATACGATTAGATTTTGGAGACCCTGGAGATCTATCGATTTCATCTTAAGACTTACTGGGTTTTGCAAGGTTAGTATGAAGTCGTGGAGTACCAGCGGAAAGGATGTAACAGAAATAAAAAGAATTGGCGTACCCATACTAGAACTCTCGCATGTTAATCCCCACTCTTTCCCTATCCATTTCCCTACCCTTTTCATTAAGAAGGAAAGTTGTTCATGTTGCTCGTGTTTGTTTGTTAAAAAGGTATAAATGTAATTTCGTACTTACACAATATCCACAAAAAATAATTTAAAAATGCAATTGACGTTGGAAACATTTTTAGTATTATAGAGATATGTTCTTCGAACAATTCACACTTCCCTAAAAACATTTAAAGATCCTTGACAGTTAGCCTTTCGCTTTTCTTCATAATCACAAACATATTAGAAAAGGGTTTTAGTCTTGAGAAAGCCAAGTAATGTTTTCCATGCGAAAATACAGGATCGGGCAAGTACAACTCTTCCCTGGATTTGTTATTAGGAATAAACGGGGTTTTGGAGGGGCAGGACGCCAGCTTGCTGGGGTGGGAAAGTTAAAAAATTATTTGTATACTAAAAAATATTTCAATTTTTTTCTGTGTTCTCACGTACTTAAAAAAAGGAATTCTGGGCTAAAAATAATAAAACTAATATTTTCACCTTTGAGTAATAAGTACCACTTGTTATCATAAGAAACAATTCTGTAAGCTTAGAGTTCACTTGCATGGGAGTGTTGCTCAAACGATGTTTACGTATTGAATATCTTAGCGATCCGACACCTTAAGTTTAATATCAAACGGTGTATTACTTACAATATATGAGTTTACAACTGGGCATTGATGTACAGACTTCCAGATACCGCCAACATTTAAATCGTGCGTCTGAATTGTGATCGTTGTCAATTATCAAATCACTTGCGCTACTCTTTCTATAATTTTAAATTAATTCACGTAGTATTGTAGGCTAGTGCGTTTTGATTTTTTGTTCATTTATTTCATTCTTTTTTAATTTAGGTAATTTAAAAGTTTGATCATGTTGTGCCATAGCACAAGTTTTCCCCTACAACCTCCGCGTACCCTTGAGAGAACTCTCGCATGTTAAACCGCACACTCTTCCCTGTTTTCCTATTTTCATTCTAAAAAGGAAAATTTAAAATTAAATGTATTTATTTGTTTAAAAATGTGTAAAGGTAAATTCCATTGTACTAATACAAAATCAAATAGAAATGAAAATTTATGCAATTGATGTGGAAAATAAATTTTCACTGGAGATTTATCAGTATTACCGAGAAATTTCTTGAAAGAATTCACAACACTCCCTTAAAAATATAGTAATTATTCAATAGAAAGTAGTAAGTAATTCAATAGCAAGTAATTATTCAATATTCTTTGACAGTTAGCTTTTCGCTTTTCATGATAGTCAAAAAAATTGAGAAAGCTTTTTACTCTTGAGAAAGCTACATGACCGAACATGCTGACTTGAAAGTTTCACCGAATCACTGCTGATAACGAAAATACTGGTACAGGTAAGACACAAACCAAACCTAATAATACACGACTTCCCTTTTCACTGTACACCCACATCCCTTCACAATTTAGGTACGCAGCATTTGTAGAACTCGGCAAAACGTTAAATAAATGTTTTCCCTGCAGGCATAAGAAACGATCTTCATCGGAATTAAACAACTATTAATAGTCCTTCTATTTGTTGTTGCGAGAGCAAATATTGAATTAATAACTATGCAAATAAACCTCGCCAGTCTGCGCAAACCACCGTGTACGCAGAAAGCATAATAGTAGTTCATGCAATTAGTTTATAATGTTAAGCTTTATTGCATGAGTACATGTTTTGAAAACGAGCGACTTAGGAGCGAGTTTTCAAATTTGTACGAATGTAATAAAGCAACATTATAAACGAGTCGCATAGTATATTTTTTTGTATAACAGCATTACACGTTTATAAGAGAATCAAACTTAATTTTGCGAAACAACTTCCCTGTGCGTCTCGGGTATTTGACAACGTGTGAGTAAACGGTGATCGGCTGTTCCGTTTAGTTCTACCTTCTCCCGCCTCTCGCTACGAATGACTGAATGTGTGATGACGCAATCATTTGTGACATAAAATGTAATACGTCATCATTTGTGCCGTAAAATGCCCGATTATGAACGATAACTTGTAACAGAAAAAGGTTCTTTTATAATACTGGAACACAAAAAATAACGATGACCGTGCTTCTTCGTCTCTGGCACACAAAACAGTTGAAGGCAAAAGCTCGCAGCGAACACTGATGACAATATTCCAAACACATCTTCATTGGTGCGAAATATAAATAATTTTCTTTTGAAGAAAACTTTT